CCATGCTCTACATGGAAGAAAACCAATCAGTAAATGAACCCACATCCTAGCTAGTAGGAATTCTTTGATCAATGTGTCTCATTGAAGACGAACATCGTACCCAAGATGTCTTGTTCCACACGTGGTTACTAGACCGCGTTAATATGGAAATCGAGAGCCTGCCATCCCCTCCGTACCATTTCTTTATCAGTGCCAACAAGAAAAAATTATAACCCTGAGTTATGGAACACAATTGGGACCCAATCCACCACTTAACCTCATCGTCACTCAATTCCCGACCATAATGACACTTAAAAGCTTTAATATAAACGTGAACCTTACACTTATCCTACTACTCCCTTACCATCTTTGAATTTCACATGGGAATTTAAGGAAAGGTAAATCCATACCCAACCCCCCTAATATCAATCTTAAAAGAATTAACTTCATCCTCTTCATCAACATTCATGTCACGGTCTTCAACATCTTAGAGACCCCCAACTCTTCAACATCCTCTCTAAAATTCACCACAATATTAGAACTATCATTACTATAATTCTAGATAAGAATACCTCACATCTAAAGGAGACACCACCTCAAATATTTATGGGTTATAGGGTTTAAAAAAGTCTTATAAATTTGAATGTGATTATTGGTATGTGTATTCGTAACTAAAAAATTCTCAAAACCATTCAAGAGAAGAATATATTAATATACTAGACTTATGAATATCAATAAAGTCTGAATTAAATACCAAATAATTTCATTGTCTTGAAATAAATATTAAAATTATCTTAATTAAATAACAAAATTTATTTGTCTTTTATAAAAATATTAATTGAATACCACAAAAAAATTTTAAAATAAAAAATATTTTAAAATTTTGAATCATCACATCCTATTAGTTTACTGAGTAATATTATATAGTTAATATTTTACTTCAAAATTTGTCCTCCTATTTTCTTCAAGATATCTCCTCATACTCCTAGGGTTTTCAATTGCTCAAGGCTACTCAAGGTTTGATCGGACAAATTCTCCTCCTAAGCAGTTGACCTACAACTAGGGTTTCCCTTTTCTCAAGGAAATTTGAGCTTATAATGCTTCAAGTGGATTTCATGGTTCCTCATATGTATCAAGGAATGCTCATGCCAAATTTCAAGTCTTGCATCACAAGTTTGCTCGGTCAATTGCTCAGATGACTAAAAATTAACTGTATTGGACAAAAGTCAACTATGGTCAACATACAATCAAACTTCAAGATTTGTGGTCAACATCAATATTTTGAAGTCACATTCATCATTTGATCAAGGGTTGATCATTATTCATTAAGAAAACTTAAGATTCATCAAAAGTCAAAAGTTACCAAATTAGGGTTTTCTTAAGGAGAAGTCAACTGAACTTTGACCAAGCATAACTTTCATATACTTCATCATATTTTTCTCAACCAAAGCTCATGCTGAGGAAATTCAATTCTCTATAACTTTGTCCCTCTAAGCTCAAGTCTAAAAAATAATTCATTTGAGAGATATGAGTCAATACATTATAGGTCATTTCAAAAGTCAACAAAAAGAAACTTTTTGTCAAGGAAAATTACGCCAAGATAAAGTATTCAAATGAAAAAATATCAACATAGAGATTTTAGAGGACATATTGAGTTTTCCAAAAAGTCCAAGATCACCTTCATATGATAAAAATTGAGAGAGTTATGATTGGTGCAAGTTGGGGAATTTTGAGAAAATGCATGAAATCCAAATTGATCAAACTTGAATTTTTGGGCTAGTGGACTTACGTTTCAAGGTCCAAACGTGTATTAGGCCTCATAGTGAATCTCTTAACCTATTCATACACCACTTTAATCTTTATTCCATTTATTTTTTATTTTATTTATTTAAATTCAAAATAAATTAAATAAAATCAAGGCTTTCATACAAAGGTCCAAGCCTCCTTATTTTTGACCTAATTTTCTTCTACAAATATCCTCATTCAGACAACAAGAGGAGAGGACGAAAATCCTTGCAAGAAACCATATTCCAAAACTTCAAAAATTATTCAAAACTAGGGCAAACTTCAAACCCTAGTTACAGCCTCTCTCCAAGCAAGCCAATCATCCAAATTAATCCCTGAAGCATTGTAGGGTAAGAATGAATCAATTTTGAGGATCCAAAGGGCTTGAAACGCACAACCGTGCACCACCGATTTTTGTCTTTTGCATGAAATTCATATTGTCATTTTTATTATGTTTTGATGCATACTAACATGACTAATGTTCTTCTGAGATGTCAATAGGCAGGTTTAAACCATCGCATGACCCCCATAATGTCCGGAGGGAAGTTTACCATGTTTGAACCGTTTTAGGTTATTTTTTTGTATCTCTTTGTACAGGGAGAATCATCCAAAACCAAGGGCACCATTGAATTTGCAAGGCCCAAATTAGGGGGGTAAGGTACCTCTGAATCATTGAGGTTTACTATTTTGTAGGAACAAAAAATATGCTCGCCGCAGAAGACGACCAGAGCTAGGGCTCTGGCTCCTCCCCGACCCAATGATTTTGTTTTCTATATGTTTAATTGTTTTCATTAATGTACCTGATGAAACAACCACCCCAGTGACAAGCGCGCGCATGATAAGGCATTGGTATAGGAGGATGTGAGTTTGATCCCAGTCTTTTGACATTTTTTTCATATTTTCCAATGTTTTGCAGTTTTTGTTATATTTTGCGTTATACTCATCGTCCTAACACCAACGCGCGCCTGGCGCAGTGGTAAGCTATGAAGTGGAAAAGGCAAAGGGCGTGGATTCAACACCTCCCCTGACATTTGTTTTCTTTTTTGGTTTCTAACCCTTTTTACATTGATTTTTCTTTCCCTATTTTATTTTTTTTGGCAAACTTAAATCCTTTTTAATTAATTAACAAAAACCTTTTTTCTTTAACCCTAGAAATAATTATGTTTATGTTTTTTTTTAATTAATTTTTGAATCAATTAACTAATTAACCATCTTTTTTAATTAATTAGATTATTAGGTTTTATTTAATTAATCATCATCATAAATCATTTTTTACAAAAAAACCCTAACAAACATTCAAACCATTTTTTTCTTATTTATTTTTCTTTTGTATTTACATTTCCTAGATCAATCGTATAGGGCGCGTTATCTATGTAATAGCGTAACTTTATATCTTTCGCATTTTCCTATTATGTAATTGTTTCCAGGATGTAATTGTTTTAGGATTTTTCTTTTCCGCACCTCTATTATGTAACTGCCCCAAAGCTCTGTAATAGCCTAGGTTTACCTTTCTGCCTTTATATTCTGCTACTATATTCATTATGCAATTTCTAGTAATTAGGGTTTATGGAAAAATAAAATCAATCGATAGTAAAACCCTAATACAAGATAAATAACTGAATCAAAACACTATTTACACTTACACCTTTAAGGTAACCTCTCTTCATTGCCTTTTCAAAATAACAGTCATGTCTCTCGAAAGTGGGGATGCTTTAGAAAAAGACTCTCGATACAAAAGATCATAGTCCCTCGATGACCCTTCGACGTTGCCTTTCGAAAAATGATCTAGTCTCTTACGAAACTGCTAAAGCATCCTTACAAGTTTCCTTCAATGACCGCACAATGACCCTTCGCTTGTCCCTTCACATCCAATAGACGGGGTTACCTACCAACTAATAGTATAAATATCACTATCTATAAATGAGAAGGAAAAGTACAAGAACGACCTTGAGTGGGTAGGATACTTTTAATCGCTTGCTCACAAATTTTACTAAACAAAACATTTCTCACATCACACTTTCAAAAAACAAATATTTTCAGATACTCTATACACGTTCTTGAGGACTGATACAAGAACCATTACAAAGTTCGCCTTACATTGACATTTTCAAAATATTTCAAACAAGCACACACACAAAAATCAAATTTTCAAAAGTGAGCTAAGCGATTAAGAGTCCGTAGATAACTACAGATGAAAAGAGTGTTAACACATTCCCTTTTCATAACCTACCCCCCAAACTCAAAATCTATCAAGGTCTTTCCTGTTTTTTTCACCTTCTTTATTAGATAATAGAAAAGTCGGTGACGATTCTTGTTATCCGTAACATTTGCGATAAAACGCAAAACAAGTCAGTTCTCCCATCATATTACAGTCAGAATCATTTTAATAAGAAAGTAAAAAATGTATATTTGTCATTGTTTGAGAAAATAATTTTATATTTATTTTAAATTTAGTTTTTTTTATAATAGAAATCTTGAAATAATTGTATTAATAGAGATTTAATTCTCGTCATTAGGGATGTAAATAAGTTAGGTTAGGCTTTATAAGGCTTGAGCTGGCCTACGATAAACTTAAAAGGCCCGAGTCTAGTATATGACGTACTGTAGGCTCTTTTTTTGAGTCTGACCAAACCTTTTTAAAAGTTTGGTCTAACCTGACCTATTTAAAAGCATATTTATCATTAAAGTTTTCAATTAATTCATATTACTTAAGAAACCTTATAGGCCGACCTATATATGTGTATATAGACCGATCCATTTAGCCTTTATTCGAATGTATATACATATATAAGTCATCCTATTTAATCTTTTTTTCTAATATATGCATATATAGACCATCTCATTTAATCTATTTTAATATAGACCAATCTATAAAATTCTATAAATTTATTTAGTAGTCTAAGTCTCATCTATTTAATTAAATAGATTTAAAAAAAATTTAAATCTGACATTTTTATTATATATGTCTGACTTAACCAAACTTTAAATAAATTAGATTGTAAATCAGTGTAAATCGAGTGGCCTGATCTATTCTTACTTCTATTTGTCATTCTTGCTTTTTATACTTTCTTATTAATAAATATTTTTCAAGTATATTTTATCCCAATTAAAATCATTATAATTTTATTTTCAGATTTTTCACATCTCATAAATTCGTTGTGGATTGATTGGGCGAAAAGCAAAACCAAACTCAAAAGCTATTTATTTTCCTTTGAGAAAACGCAGTATAATGCATAATGCAGCGACTAAGGAATTTGAGATTGAGGTCAATCTCAAATTCAGCTTCTGCTGCAAACCTAAAACGCAAATCTCTCAATTCATGGGCTGCAATTCAAGAAACCTACTTCTCCACCAAGGTTCCTTCCTTCTTCTTCCTCCTCCTCTCTTTCTCTCTCTCGTCGTTCTTTCTCTCTCATCATTTTCTGTTACAGGATACGTTTGAGAGACACCGAGTTGTTTTCACCGTCGGAACTTCCATTGCTTCCGTTGCAACTGCTTTCTTAGGTTTGTTTCTCATTCATCGCACCGAGATATAATCTAATTTGATAATTATATGCTTTCATTTGTAATTTTTTAATTTTATTATTTTATTATTTGTTTTGAATTTTAGGGTATTCGTTGCGTCATGTGCATGATTCCAGAGTTGATGAAAGGCTTCAATCCATTGAACATGCTGTATATTTTCAATCTGATTATCTTTTATTCGTTTTTAACTGTTTTTGGCAACCTGAAACAAGACACTGGAACAACTCTGACACACTTACACATCGACACTGATAATAATTTGAAAAAATAGAAATAATGAAATGTAATCACTAGTGTTTTGGAAACCGACCCTGACTCAGGAACATCTTTTTTCAGAGGTGTTAGAGGTTTTTGGTTTTACTTGCTTTCATTACCTATACTTTGTTTCTCTTTATTGCTAGATGAAAAGCAATGTGAATCTTCAACATTCTGAAATCAAAGATATTGTTGGTCATCCTGGAGGTTGTAGTATTCCCGCTTGTGCAGCCACTGCTGGAACGACATTACTCATCGGGTTTGTTTTGTTTCCCTTTAGTGATTCCTGTGTTTGACTATGTAAATTGATCATTTTTATGGATAAATTGTTAGTGGTTAGTTTGTTAGGGGGAGGGGGGTTTGTTAGTAGGAGGGATTGAACCCCGAATCTCTTACATAGTACTCTTTGGTGTCCCAGCTCTTACCACTGGGCTACTCCTTCGGGGACTTTGTGAATTTTTCCTTAACATCGTGTCAATCTTGGCTATTACAATATGCTAATTTGTTGATTGATTTTCAATGTATCCATTATGATTTATATATGGTAGTATCATTTAGTTTTATGACTTCTATTGTTAAGGAAGTTGAAAGTATGAGTAGAAAGAGTATTGATTTCATTTTTTTGTGGAACACACATACAAGTATCAATATTGAAATAAATATTCCACATCACAAAATTTATTATTTTATGTTGTGTAGACTGACTATGGATGTGATGTACTAACCCCAAACACTAATGGAGAGATATTGCTGTATAGCTGCAAGACATATAGTACTCTATAGAACTTATGTTTAGCTGTAAAGAACAAACAACAAAGTAAACTTGGTGTTATAGAGATGAAAATGTTACGATGGACAAATGGTCTAAGAAGACAAAAGAGGATTAGAAATACAATCATTAGGAAGAAGATTGGGATCACTTCTGTTGGATTAAAGATAGACTGACTATGGATGTGATGTACTAACCCCAAACACTAATGGAGAGATATTGCTGTATAGCTGCAAGACATATAGTACTCTATAGAACTTATGTTTAGCTGTAAAGAACAAACAACAAAGTAAACTTGGTGTTATAGAGATGAAAATGTTACTGTTAAGAGTCCCACATCGGACAATATATGGCCTGAACATGTGTTTATAAGTGGGGGCAATCCTCACCCTACAAGCCGGTTTTGTAGGATTGAATTAGGCCCAACCACATCTTAATATGGTATCAGAGCCTCGTTTAAGATCCAGTGGACCATCCACCATTTATTTCCACGCTCCAGTTGTCTAGTCCTGGGCGTGAGGGGGTGTGTTAAGAGTCCCACATCGGACAATATATGGCCTGAACATGTGTTTATAAGTGGGGGCAATCCTCACCCTACAAGCCGGTTTTGTAGGGTTGAATTAGGCCCAACCACATCTTAATAGTTACGATGGACAAATGGTCTAAGAAGACAAAAGAGGATTAGAAATACAATCATTAGGAAGAAGATTGGGATCACTTCTGTTGGATTAAAGATAGTAGAATTCTGCCTTAGCTAATATGGACAATATATGGAAACAGCTCATATAAGCTCTTGTATGAAGAGTTGACCTAATAGAGAAGAGTCCAAAGGTTTGCCGGAGACAAAATGAAACTTTAGACCCAACCAAACCACTAAGAGTTTAGAAGTAAACTATCTATCTATCTTTGAACTTAATGTTTTCAGATCCATGTAGTCAAACTCACATACTAGGATAAAGTTTGGTTGTTGTATACTTATGATAGCTCAGTATATAGTTTTGCATTACTAACAAATGTTTTTGTTCAAATTTTTAAACTCACGGAGGAAATGAATAATAGAGCTAAAACGAAAATTTCATTTTGGAAGTTGGAAACAGATTAAATCATTCTAACCTGTTAAGTAAACTAAAGTTTGGTAATGAAATTTGTGATGTGATGGATCATGGAATTTATTTCACAACATTCAAGTAATTCTGCGGACTCTTGATTTTTAGGTTCTTCACACCTCTAATATTTGATATCGACCAGTCATAGCTGAATATTTTTACTGCCAAATTGTTCTGGATTTGTTTTGCTTCGTTCTTTTATGTAACGGGGAAATGTTTTCACAAGGTAACACAAAATGAGGAATGTGGGCAACTAAACTAGAAGAGTGTAAAAATGGTTCCATGATATTAGAAAGAAGAGGAGTAGAGAAGAGAAGTGTTTTCATCTTGTAACAGAATTCTGTTATTCTATTTTCTGTTAGTTACAAAAGGCTCCTTGATGCTTTATATACAGCATCAAGGGTAACCTGCTATTACAGGTTAGGGCACACTGAAACTTACAGCTGCCAGTCAAATATATAAAACAGAAATAGGGACTAAGCTACTTATGTATTCATTACATGAAGCTCAATTTCTTTTCTCCACATGATAATAGCGTCCTGAATATAAATTTAATGAGTAGAAAGAAAAATTTCAAATTATATATATCATGCCGACTAGATGTTAGAGTCTCGGATAGGAATATCACATTTGCATATTTAGTGTATTGAGTGGTTGGTATTTTTGGTGATATCTAGGTATGGCTTGGGATGGAGAGGTGGAAGCTGGTACACAACAAAGAAGTTCAGAAAGGAACAGATGAAATTGCTAGGACAGATTAAACCTAGAAGATGGCAAATGCTTGGGAACATAAAAGCTAAAGGGTGGAAATTCCAGTTTCCTAGAAGATCCAAAGTGCAAGATACTACAGTGAGAACATCTGAAACAGTAATAAAGGACACATCCTCCACGCACATTGCTGGAAAATGTCATTAGATAAACAGAGGAGCAATGTAGTTTTACTTATATCTATCAGTCAGATTTTGAGCTGGCAGTGGTATTATAATATTTTGGCCTGCAGTTCCTCACTCTAAGCTTCATATTCTTCATCGTTCATGTTATAAGTGTCTACATACTTCTGCTTTATTTTGATGATTAAATTTATACAGTAGGAAATACACATACCTTACTTTTAAAGTCTGACAAAAAGATCTCTCAATTTTCAGTTTTGTTGATTCAACTTTCATCAATTTTAAAATTGTTGGAATAACAATTTTGTTTTCACTTTATTGTATAATAAGCTCTTATATTGTGAATGTGAATGAAATGCAGTGATTCTTCATCGGTAAAAACAAAAATACATTTGATGTTATTCTTTTTTATGGTTTAGTTGTATAACTATCAAATTTCACCTCTTAAATGTAAATAAGTGAGATGACATGATTTCGAATTTGTGTCTCTGCAAGAATTAACGATATTTTTTTGTTATTTATTTTATTAGTCTCAAATAAAGTGAAATGATCAATTAAAGAGCGGGGTTCCAATGTTACATTTATTTATTTCCAAAAGTGTTGATTATCAAATATTGTTCCACACTATAATTGTTTGATTAGATTGATATTATGAATCCAATAATGTGTGAATATTTGATCTGCTTTCGCGGATAAATAAAAAACGAGTTACTTTAAAAAAAAATATAATTTAGCGACTATCGCGAAGATTTTTGTATTGTTATTAACCAACAGAAGTGATTATAAGGAATTTAATTCAGGATCAATTTTTACAGAGCTGAGCAAATAAGTGATTATAAAAATAAGTCGATCTACTGTTTTCAGGTTTCTACTAATCATTGGTTTTTACCTTACAAATTTCTTAAGCGGCTTCGACCTCTATTCGATTTCAATACCAATTGACAAGCGCAATAGATATAAAATAGATTGAATTCTCATTCCGAATTAAGCAAACGGATTAATACAATCATGAATTAAGCAAACACGATATAGAACGCGATTTAACGACTAAGCGGCGTAAACAACGATTAAAGATTAGGAATACAATCATAAGAATTTAAGACATTCCATGAAATAACTGATTAAGCAAATGCAATTTCATAAAATAGAATTGAAAGAGAAACAGAATTGAATTGATAAATTAAAAACCTCAAAGCATCGGAACGCGATTACAGTAGATCAACTCTTGATGATAAGTTCTTCATTCAAGCGTACAAGTCAAAGTTTCCATCGTGAAAAGTGAATTATATTTTTTTTTCTTGTAGCACAGCTGAAAACCTTATAAACAAAATATGATTTTTCACTACTAACTCAAATTGGGTCGGAACATAAACCAGGTCCATAAAACGACCCGAAACAGATTATTTTCTAACGTCTGAAACTTCAATGAATTACTAAGACTTATACAGGACGAATCAGCTTTTTACTCCAACATTAAAGTTGTAGCTCTTTCTCTTAGCTTTCCAACGAATATTATAACGCGTCAATTTGATTCCCGTAGCTCCAGTTATGATTTTTTCATTGAAAGCTACTAATGCTGAAAATAAAATACGAAAATCAAATAAAGGCAAAAATAAATTAAATTATAAAAACATTATAAAACATAAAAATAAACAAAGTAAACATAGAAATGCTTAAGTACAAACATAGAAGAATGTGCATCAAAATGCACTGATCAAATTCTCCCATACTTAAAATTTTGCACTTTGAGCAAAATAAAATCAAAATCTCAAGAAACGCAACAACATCATCAGTTACTCATTCCAGACTACAAACTCTTCTTCGGTTAAGATTGCATCGATAGGTACTAATCTTGCACACTAAGTATATCATAGGAACACTACACTGCAATTGTGCAGTCATACGCTTCTTGAATATACAACCCAATTCGAATCATGTTATTATGCCAAAGCCTAACTTACTCGTCCTCCTTTTTGCTCTCTTTCATTCTGGCGCAATCACATTAAGCCAATTATCTCCACACACTCATAGTAAGACGACCGGTTAGTGACTCTGATCCTTTTTGCATGAGGTTCTGATACACGAGTGGTATAACCCTTTGCTTACTCAATTGTAGTTATGGGGGATCGGACCGTAATCCGCCCTACCAAGTTCAGCACCAGAAACCTCTGAACCAACAAACAACGGGTCTGATAATCAAATTTTGTAGGTTCCACAACCGTTGGGATAAGTTACCGGGTGAGGGTTACCAAACTTAGAAGGTGCATTCTCTTTTTTTCCAAATAAAACCTGGATCATTCAGTTATATTCATCGGCTTCCCTACGTAGAGCATGTGTGAGATGGTGCTGACTGTTAAGATAAACTACTCAAGAGATGTTAGAGAATGAGAATTCAAGGCCATGTCATAATAATTATTCAAATTAATTTCCATATACAGAAGACTTACGGTGTTAAGACGATACCGATCTTGCGAACTTTTCCCAAGTCTCCACAACTAACCTCAGATTAATCTTATAATCCAAAACTTACAAAAGGATGCAATTTTTTTATAATAACTGAAAACAAAATAAAACAACGAACAACAACAAAGAAAACAAAATAAATAAATGATTCTCTCCCCCACACTTAAAACACACATTGTCCTCAATGAAAGAAACAAGCATAAAATAAGAGCGAGGAGAGAGAGGAAAGAACACACCCGAGGAATCAAGGCGGATAGATGGTTGCATAAGTAGCCTTTCCCAACAAGAGGTCTTTTATAGTTTCCTCTTCTAACTTGGGACTCTCATGGAATAGCTTGAGGCGATATCCTTTGACTTTGCAATTTTTATGAGTACCTTCACTTTTTATTCCTGAATCAAAGAATATTCTTCTAAAAGTAAAAGTGTCAAATGGACACATGAACATGATATCATCTTTCACAACATCAAGGATCAAAAGGTCACGGGGCTGCCTCACTGCTTTTGCTACATCTTCAAGTGAGATCCTATGCATACAGATAGACGGACTAATATCATAAATATCATCCAAGGTCCATCCAATTCCTTTCTTATGCTTCTTCAAAACCTGCAAAACTTTACTTTCTTGATCAAAATAAAGTTTAGAAGAAATTATAACCGAGAGTTTTTCATTCATCTCTAGATAAGCATAATTAAGATTTTCAGGAATTAGTTTCAGCTCTCGGGAAGGTGGTTGTTCGATGGATAGTTTGTTTCGAGCAGCCGGAGTGTCGAGAGCTTCATCCACATGAACAACTTCATTTGCAACCTCATGTGCAATAAGAATATCAACTTGCAAGACAACCTCAATTTCAGCACAAACAAAGCAAATTTTAATATCAGTACAAACATCACAAGAGTAAACATCATCAAAATCAGATAATGATGGAAAATCAACTACAAATAAATCAGTACAAGTATCATCAACAGTCTCAGAAAGCATCTCTATAGGAAAAACAGAATTCTCTTCCAATGGTTGTTGGTTAGATCCTTGAACTTGTTGAATGATATTCATCAAAGAGGCAAGTTGTTTAATCTGTGTTTGCAAAGTCTGGAGAGTAGAATTTATTTGTTGTTCAAACGGGAGATTATTTGCAGCAATTTGTTTGACAAGATCCTCTAGTGAAGGCCAAGAAGGTGCAGACCATACAACCTGAAATTCCTTCAGATTCTTATGCGGATCCTCACCATTATAGTTCACATCAGGGGCAGCCAACTGCCTCAAAGTTCTTTGTTCAGCCATGTTATCAACAAACACAGAAATATCAATTATGTCTCAAATAGGCAGAAACAAATAGAAAGAGGGAAAATGATTAAAATAAATTCATAAAAATATAAAAACATCTAAATTAATCTAATGAAGTAAAATAAGAATTGTGAGATTTTTTTTGAATTTTTTCGACACTGTGAAAACAATAAAAAATTAATTAAAAATATAAAAAAGAGGAATATGAGATTTTGAGGGCCAAAATCTTTTAGAATTTTATTCTAAAGGAGTACTGTTCGTCGATTTTTTTATGAACTTCTGAAAAAAATTTAGAGCAAATCGAAACAGTAGGTTTCAAACTTACCTGGTAGGCTGAAAAACTGTAGTGCAACCGAAATTGCAACCCTGAATATCAACAAACACAACAAAAAAATAAGAAAAAAATAGCAAGAACATTATACCTATGACTCTAATATCAGTTAATAACAACAAGAATCCCCGACAACGGCACCAATTTGATCCGCTGTCGCGGGCGAATAAAAAACGAGTTACTTTAAAAAAAATGTAGTTTAGCGACAGTGACTCGAGTATCGTATCGCGAGGATTCTTGTATTGTTATTAACCAAGAGAAGTGATTATGGGGAATTTAATTCAGGATCAATTTTTAAAGAGCTGAGCAAATAAGTGATTATAAAAATAAGTCTACTGTTTTCAGGTTCATGCTAATCATTGGTTTTTACCTTACCAATTCCCTAAGCGGCTTCGACCTCTATTCGATTTCAATACCAATTGACAAGCGCAATAGATATAAAGTAGATTGAATTCCCATTCCGAATTAAGCAAACAGATTAATACAATCATGAATTAAGCAAATACGATATAGAACGCGGTTTAACGACTAAGTAGCGTAAACAACGATTAAAGATTAGGAATACAATCATAAGAATTTAATCAAGACATTCCATGAAATAACAGATTAAGCAAATGTAATTTCATAAAATAGAATTGAAAGAGAAACGGAATTGAATTGATAAATTAAAAATCTCAAAGCATCGGAACACGATTATAGTAGATCAACTCTGGATGATTAGTTCTTCATTCAAGCGTACAAGTCAAAGTTTCCATCGTGAAAAGTGAATTATATTTTTTTTTCTTGTAGCACGGCTGAAAACCTTATAAACAAAATATGATTTTTCACTACTAACTCAAATTGGGTCGGAACATAAACCAGGTCCATAAAACGACCCGAAACAAATTATTTTCTAACGTCTGAAACTTCAACGAATTACTAAGATTTATGCAGGCCGAATCAGCTTTTTACTCCAATATTAAAGTTGTAGCTATTTCTCTTAGCTTTCCAACAAATATTAGAACACGTCAATCTGATTCCCGTAACTTCAGTTATGATTTTTTTCATTGAAAGCTGTTAATGCTAAAAATAAAATACGAAAATCAAATAAAGGCAAAAATAAACTAAATTATAAAAATATTATAAAATATAAAAATAAACAAAATAAAATATAGAAATGCTTAAGTAGAAACATGGAAGAATGTGCATCAAAATACACTAATCAATATTTAAATTTAAAATAATTGATGGGAGATTGATATAACGAATCTAATAATGTGTGAATATTCAAACTTGAAAATAATTGATGGGGGTTTAGAGTTTAAGGTTATTATGTTTTTACAAATTTGAAATCACCATTTATTTTTGCATGTTTGAAACTTTTTATAGGCGTTGGTGAATTTTTAAAGTTATGCATTTTGATATTTTTAAAGCGGAAATTATTAGTATTAGGTTGAGGATGGAGAATGAACTTTCGATCTTTTTTATCAAAACCTTTTAATTCACTCATTCCAACTACAAGTCATCTGTTGCATTTTGATCTAAATATTGTCAAGTCTCAATAGTTATAGTATAGGTAAAAAGATTAAGGAGATGATGATGTTTTTTTAACATAGATGTATAAAGCTAATCATAAAAAAAAGTTAAATAATAAAGAATATTCAATAGAACATTTGTTGAGTAACACTTTCTTAACAGAGTCTACCAATTGCATAATATTTGAAGTTTAAGTATTTGTCAAGCTTAAGCCATAGTACTTGTACAAACTCCATGCTTCTATGATAAGAAAAGTCTCTAGTTTAAGTTTCCAATACAAGGCTTTGTTTGGTTTATAATAAAAAAAGGAACTATTACTCAACATTTTCTTCATGGCACATGTTTTGGCTTTTTATATGCACCACATTGGTCTGGTCATAGGCCACCTCTCAAATTCATAACCACCCACACATTTCAGGTTAAGCTAAGGAATCATGTCACCAAAATCCAAAAGTATTAGTAACTTAATATAATTGACCCCACAATTGCATTTATTTAAAGCCAATATGTCCAATCTATTGACAAAAAGGTGGTTCAAAACTCCTCATGTGAATAACTTTTTTAACTTTATTTTTATTTTTTCCTTCCTGTGTTTTTATTCTCTTTTCTCTTCATATAAATAATGTCTGAATTTGGAAGGTTAATTCATCAAAAAAATAGAAAAATGGCCAAGATTTCACTCTCAATAACACTTGTGATTCTCTTCTGTGGTTTAACTCTTGCATCAAGAACAAAAATATTACCCCTCAGCAGAACTATTACTGCATTGGCACCAGAACTCAGCGATGGTGTTTGCTCATCACTAGTGAAAACACAAGGCTATGCTTGTGAAGAACACTTGGTATGTACTTTGCAACATTGCTTTCATCTGTTTCTGTTTTTTATTAGAAATCAGCAAGGTTCTAACTAGCTTCTATGTGTATGTAATTGTTTATAGGTGACAACAAAAGATGGTTATGTTCTCAACATGCAGAGAATTCTACCAAGGGGGAAACCTCGAAATATCATACCAGTTCTGCTACAGCACGGACTATTCATGGTTACTAACAAACTTTGTTTTTTTTAATATTTTTTTTAATGCTTTTTGTTGTTGTTCTTGTTGTTGATGTTGGAAATTAATGTGATGTTGTATGTTTTCTTAGGATGGTGTGACATGGTTATTGCTACCACCAAGCCAATCTCTTGCATTCCTTTTGGCGGATAATGGTTTTGATGTTTGGATTGCCAACTCGCGCGGAACCAAATATAGTCATCAACATACATCCTTTTCTAGTAACAGCTCGGTCAGTCCTCGAAATTGAAAATCTCCTAACATGATTTTAAGTAGGCCAATTTGAGTCCATTGCTTATATCAGGTTTCCATTGGTTAGGATTATTGGAATTGGTCATGGGATGAATTAGTAGCATATGATCTTCCAGCAACATTCGAGTACGTGCATGATCAAACTCGACAAAAACTACACTATGTTGGCCACTCCCAGGTGATTCATTGGTGATTTTTTCATGTTTTCACATCTCGATATGTATAATTCAATGTCATATTAAAGAACGAAGATTTTTGGAATGTCTTTTTGTAGGGAACTTTGGTTGCATTGGCTGCTTTTTCCAAAGACCAACAACTGGACAAGTTGAGATCAGCTGCCTTGCTTTGTCCAATTGCTTATGTTGGTCAGATGACCTCGCCAGTAGCTAAAAAAGCCGCTGATAATTTCATTGCAGAGGTAACTGTTGTTAATTGCAGATACATTGTTCCATTGATTTTTACTAAAAATTCAAAATATTAACATTGAATATGTGGTTCTTTCTCAACAGACATTGTACAAGTTGGGAATATTCGAGTTTAGTCTGAAAGGGTAAGTAATTTTTATTATCTTTTCTGTGAAAAACATTAAACAAGTATAATATGACTAATCTTATGATGCTGATTAATCATGAGTTCAGAAATATCGGCTTGACTCCATCTTTTGTCTAATGTTTGAATAGGGGATCTGTCGTAAAGTTTCTTAAGGACATGTGCACAGAAACTTCCATCGACTGCACCAACTTGTTTACATCTTTCACAGGTTTTATGCATCTTCCAATTCAGCAATAAACCCTCATAAGGTTTTATGCTCCTACGTTGATATTATTATTATACTTTCAGGTCCAAATTGCTGTGTAAACCCTTCGTTAGTAAATACCTTTTTGGATCATGAGCCTCAGCCATCAGCAACGAAGAACGTGATCCATTTATCTCAGAGTTAGTCGTCTTATTTTCCTAATTCAAATATCATACATGACAACAACGTGTGTTTGTTTTATAAGAAAGGAATTGAATTTGAACTCTGAATATTTTGACAGTGATCAGAGAAGGAACCGTATCAATGTTTGATTACGAGAATCAAGACGAGAATATGAGACACTATGGACAATCCACTCCACCAATATACGACATGACAAGACTTCCGAATAAGCTTCCTCTCTTCGTTAGTTACGGAGGCGCTGATGCTCTTTCAGATGTTAAAGATGTGCAACTTCTGTTAGAAAGTGTGAAAGATCGTGATGCAGATAAACTTGTAGTTCAGTACAGAAATGATTATGCACATGCAGATTTTGTTATGGGTCAAAATGCTAAACAAGATGTATACGAACCTCTCATTTCTTTCTTTAAACTTCAGTGATGTTTAAGGAATATATAGTACACAATACACCTTATAGAATTTTTTGAAATTACTTTGTTTCCATGTAAAACAAATTCTTAGTACAGAGATTTCAGAATGTAAGCATACAGAAGATATCATTAATAAAGGATATTACTAAATACTTTCCGGTTTTTGTTTACATCCTCAGTTAAATTCCATAACTTCCAAGACGGCCATTTATTTTGTATGTCACCGAAGACAAATCGTACGAGCCATCCACCAAAGCCATCAACTTCAACTCTTCATTGCTTAGATTCTCATCTAAAAGTTGCCAAAAAGCATTGAACCCCACTTTGGGCACTTTGCTAGTCACACCCATCACACATGCAAAGGCTTTCAATTTCAGTAGTTTCTGCTTAACTTTGTCTTCTTTACTATACACAGCAGACTCAAACTCTGGCATCTTGTATCCTCTTATGGAGCCCCAAGTAGTATGTTCACACGTAGAGAACGGTAGTGCGTGTAATAGCTGTGGCCTCAAACGGCTGTACACCCCATCTCGTATCTCACCTGCTAAAGCAACAACAACATCCATAAGATTACCAGACATAATAAGAGTAAGGGGTACACCCCTGAATCCTCTCCATTCTTGCAGAAGGCTGTTGTCATTTTCATTATCGCTCTTGAGCCCCCATTCCTTTAGACGACTGAAAAAAGGGGTCAGTTCTCACATTTCCACTAGGTACGCCAATAATGCCAATAGCACCCAGTTGCTCAATGATGTTAAACAAACTCATCAACATCATCTGCCCGAGTTGAAGATCTGCAACCAAACATTTGCTAGAACCATAGTAACCACTGTGCCCGATAAATCCTTGCATGGAGGGTAAAGTTGTTACCCTCTCCAAACCAAGAGTGGGCGAGTAACTCAAAGGAAAGTCTAAGAGGAAACAACTTTTTCCCGTAAGCGTGTTTGCCTCACGCAAAAAATAAGGCAAACCCCTCATTCCAGCAACAATCTCACACAAATCATCCACAACGCCCATTTTAATGGCTATATTCACTATATTATTCCATAGTCTTTCAGGGTTGCCATACACAGGCGGCGAACCGAAATTGACATTCTCATTGTCAGCAAAGACAAGAAGATCATCCTTATCCAACACCAGATTGTTGTAAATGTTGGGTTCTCCAAAACGCTTTTTCGGGTAGACATCACACATTTCAACAAGCACCCACATCTCCTCATTGGTAAAATAACAAGAATCAACAACAACTTTATTCTTCATAATGTAATCCTCTTTATCAAAAAATCTCCTGTCCCTAACCTTCACAGATGCAATTTTATTGTATTGATACTTCACAATATTGGATGTAAATGCTAGATTATAACTCATAACCATGAGATATCCCTTGAGGAACACATGTCTCATGTCACGCGACGAATCCGACGCAATCACAATTGTGCATCCAGCACTTAACTGAATTGAGCATTTCATCAAATAGCTTTCAGACAGAATAAATTGGTGACTAAGAGTTTCTTTATCTCTGTCTTCAGCCAAACAGAATGACTTCAAATCAAAGCTAGAATCCATTCCAGGAAGAATGAACCTGTCTGGCATCATCAAACCTTTGACAATAATTTTCTCGCCTATGCCTAATGTTGCATTTTCGCACACATTCAAATCAATAACATTATCTAAATTAGACATCTTTGAAGTGTGCCAAAATGTATCCCTTGGTTTTAAATACCGTTACTGTTTAATGCAATTATTTCAAATATTTAGAGTTAGGTTTCCAATGTCTCTTATTTGAGTGGCATTTACAAGAGAAATTAATATGTCACCCCATTCTTTTTATTCCAGATTTATCTTTAATGAGATACAAATAAATTTCCGAACGAAATTCCTGGTTGAAGGGGTGAAATTTCCAATACAACACAAATTTCCGGTACACCCCTACCAAATTTTCGGTGGTGCATTTTAAATTTTCAATAAATCGGAAATTTCAAATTTCCATGTCAGTACCAGAAATTTGAGTTATATTGAAATTTCTGATAAATTATGTATTCAGGTTTTTTCAACGGTCGAGATTTTGCCGACATAATTGAAGGGTCCTGATTGCACCGACACATTTGTGTGGTCTAGAATACATCACCATTTGTATAAACAGGGGTTACAGGTTATAGGGTAAGTGTTTACAGTTATTTCTGGTAAACAACCGCTAGTCCTCCAAACTATCGAATAATCTTAATGACTGTTATTCAATCTCTCTGGTAACTCGCAGGATCGACTAGATTGATCCTAGGATGTATTGGTCATTTGGATAACTCTCATTATAGAACTGGTATTCATGGTTGGTATTTAGAATGTTGTGTAGGTGTTTAACTTACTTCAATTACTCTATTAAAGATCTAAAGGCGTGATCAAGTAAATGCGCGCGAAACTAAATTGCATGGATAAAGTTCAATTGTAAAGACATGTAAAACTGTAGAAAAGACAAGTAAATGACTTCGAAACATAAAAACATGTAATGTAAAAGATTCTCTGGAATATAAAAGATTCGAAATATGAAGAAAGCGTTTAAATGCGAGAAAACAGTAAAATGACTTTAAGTGAAAAAAAAAGTGTTCGAATGATAAAAGCTTGAAGATAAAGGCATGAAATGTGCAAAAGTTTCTGAAATGTAAAGTATTTGAAATGGAAAGAAAACACTTAAATGTAAGGCATCAGTAAAAAGACTTCGAATGAAAATATTTTAATGCAAAGGTTTTTGAATGGTATTGACATGAAGATAAAGGAAGATACTGGAAATGATAAAGAGTTTTATTAAATCATAAACACTTGGTGTTATCATACGTACATTGCTCGTGCATTCGTTTCCCTAGCCATGTGGTATTTTAAATGTTTACTGAGTTTTTTTGTACAATAGATATGACACACGAAATCCTAATGCTAAGACTTCTATTTATACTACTTCGACCATAACGGTCCTGCTATAAGATTCTGCCACGTTCAGAACATGCAAAGCAATGCCTCTCTCTAGCTTCCACGCGTCTTCGAATGCTCCAGCGCATATATTTTAAATTTCGAACATCCCGCTTGCATTTGAATTTCAAATGTTTTGGCACTTCTTCGCTTCAAACGCATTTCTTGGATACAACCTTGTTATCACTTCGAAACTTCTTTTGAAGATATCCTCATAACTGTCACTCGAAGCTCGAAGCTTTGATATGCCCATTCGAAGCACTGCTTCTACCATTTCGAAACATGACATCTTGCTTTATTCCAATCGAAACATCCAACTTGCTTTGCTTCGAACAATATCATCAAAATCTTCAGCCAACAGTAAGACATCTAAAAAAATATCTCTTCCTGAGTATTTGATTAATGCGGAAGTATATTACAACAGATGCAACCCTGCCGTTGAATTCAACATTCCAGATGGCCCATCAAAAGCTACAAAAGCAGTTTACTCAAATTGTTCAAATTATTTTATTTTCCCTTCAAAATTCATCTAGCTTTGCCTATAAATAAGAGGCTCCATAACATGTATAGGGGGCTGGACAAACACATCAAAAGACTCTGGAGCATGGAGAAAAATCATCAAACTCTCAAACACTTAAACACATTTTCAGACATAAATCCAGAATCTAAACACTTGCCTCTTTCGAATCTGAGACACCCCCACGTTTTGTTTCCCTTCGAATCCAATAGAAAGAACATCTCACTTGTTCTTCTCCTTCGAATCCAGCAGCAAAAACGTTACCTTCGTTTCCTCCCTTCGAATCCAGAGACACTCAAGGCAGCCACTCAATGTCCAACACATGTTCCAACTTCAAACAAGATAAGTCATTCTGACTTTAAACTCTTCGTTTGAAGCATGTACATAGTATTTGTTTCCTTTTCGTTTCCACCCTTTTAGTTTGTTTTTATTTCTACTCCTTTTAGGTTTGTTTCTTGGTTTGTTAAATATGCTTTAAGAACTAACCTGCCCCTAAGGTAATGCTAGCATGGCCTTAGGCCATGTTGCTATTTAAAAATCTCAAACGAAAGAAACAGGAGGAAGGAGGTATGAAACGAAGCCTTAGGCTTCCACACTGACTTCCAAGCCCCAATCGAAGGAGGCAACAAGGGACTTAAGGTGAATAGGGTACTCCATTATGAACAAAAGAAGCAGCCAGAAAGTCAGGCTACACCATACTGACTTCCAGGCCTCAATCGAAAGCCACACCCACACTGACTTCCAAGCCCCAATTGAAAGGCACGCCTTCACTACTTCCAGGCCAAATCGAAGGGAACCAGAGAAGCAGAATCGAATGATGCTTCTGCCTAAATCGAAAGACCCCTTTTTCTTTCCTTTATTTTATTTTGCCTTTACATTTTCATGCTATTCAATATGGTTGTAATAGTGTAGGATTTATTTTATGCATTTTTATTACTTTTGTATAAATGCTAGTAATTAGGATGTATGGCAAGATAAAAACAACAAGTAGACAACCTAAAAATTCAAAGACAAAATGCATACAATCAAATACACTATTTACACACATGCACCCTTAGGGTAAACTCACTTGTTGCCTCATAAAAATAGCCATGTCCCTCGAATATGGGCGTTTTAGTAAAGACCCTTGATAAAAGATCGTAGTCCCTCGATGACCCTCAATGTTTCCTTCGGTAAACGATCTAGTCCCTAAAAGACATTGCTAAAACATCCCATAGGTTGCCTTCTATAACTATACAAATGTCCCATGCCCTTCCCTTCACATCTAATGATGGGGCTATTTACCAAATCGATGGTAAGATAGTAACATCTAAAGGAGGAGGAAAAGAACACTAGACCTTTTAAGTAGGTAGTATGCTCCTAGTTGCTCGTTTGCTCACAACAAAAACATTTTATAAACCCACACTTCCATTTTGAAACATTTTCAAAAGACAAAGCTCTTTGTACGCGTTCTTATAGAGACGAGAACCATTACAAAGACACTTTTCAAAATCACTTTCAAAAACTCATTTCACAAACACCTCTTTGAACTATCTTCAAAACCAACACTTTGTACGCGTTCTTATAGAAACGAGAACCATTACAAAGACGTTTTCAAAATACTTTCAAAACCCATACTGTGATCGGTGGATCTGGAACTGACTGTTTAACGCTGGTTCGCGAAATGTCGCGGAAGCAAGAGTCGCCACCGTCTTTTATTTTCTCCAATTGGAAAGGACAAAAGCACAGAAAAATTCCTTTAAAGAGATTGCTCTCGGTTCGGGAGGTAGGTTATAGAAAGGGAAGGTGTTAGCACCCTTTCTATCCATGGTTATCCATGGGCTCTTAGATACTTGCTCATTGTGTTTTCAAAATTTTTTGTTTGCTTTTCAATGTGGGTTTAAAAAGTTTCTTTGAAAAATTTCAGTTCGACTCGTACGTCAGAGTGTTTGAAAAATTTGCTTTTGAAAGCTTTTGAAAAGTGTTGGTGTGAAAAGTATTTTGTTTTGTTTTGAAATTAGAGCAAGTATCCTTGAGAACCTACCTACCCTAAGGAATTCGTCTGGGTAAATGTCCTTAAAAGTAATGCCATCCCACCATTGAGAGGTAGGTAGCACCACCGTTGGAGGTGTTCGGGTCAATTCGAGGTTCGGGACATGGTGATCACCGGAGCAATAGGAAGACACCTTAGAAGCTACCCTCATGCCAGGTTCCCGGATCATGAGGACTTACTAAGACATCCTCTACTCGACGATCACCTTTCGAGGCAAGGCAACAGTGAGGCGTACCCTAGGGGTGGTGTGTGCGATTCGTGTATCGTTTTCATTTGCATTTATCTTGTCGTGTTATTGGTGATCTACGCTTGATTTTATTTTGATCCATACATTCTTGCATGCTTTTTAACAGTTAAATATTTGCGAGAAAAATAAATCTGCGACTATTACAAATGGCGCGGGTCCACATCGCCAAAATTAAACCGGACCCGATTTGACTGAAAAATAAATAAAGCGAATAAAAGTGCGAGAAATAAAATTGTTACAAGGCTTTGGGACATGTACATAATTATAATAAGTGACAAAGTAAAATGCGCGAAACAAAATAATTAAAGCGACGGGCGTTGGACCCTTTTACAAACAATTAAGATTAATAAGGAATTTAAACTTAAAATTAAATGTTTTTGGTATTTTATGTTTTTTTTTTAAGATTTAAAAGAAAAAAGAACTTTTTAGAATGAAATTTGAAATGCAAACCCTAATTCTAATGTTTTTTAAGTTTATTGTAAAAATATTTAAGTTTTAACCTAATTTAAATCTAAGTTAATTTACATGCAAAAATTTAATTTATGAAAATAAATAAAATAAGCAATATTATTGTAAAAAGGGAAATTAAGAAGAATAAAAATTAAACCTAATTCTATTTTTGGATTTTAGTTATTAAAAGGATTAAAATTATAACCTAATTAAACTAAATATTTACATGTAATTTATGGAAATAATTAAAATAAAATAAATATTATATTTTTTGCCTTTTTCTGATTTTTATGATATTTTTCATATTTTGTAAAAATAATTAATTAATTAAAACAAATAAAAAATAAATAACATAACAATTAAAAAAATAAAATATGAAAAGAAAAGCAAACCAGGGGGGGGTTCAGGCCCCAGTTTAGGAGGTAAGGTTCAGCAAATCAGGCCCATTAAGCATGGAATTTGTTGACTTTCCTAGGCCA